TTTTCTGATTTTTGCTGTTCTTCTTGTCCTTCTGGCAGCCCTGTTATATGTATGTTACTTTATTTTGCGGTGTCCCAAAGCTCCCTTTAGGCTCTCCTCCTGTTTTTAATTTGTTTTTCCCAGTTGCTGTTCAGATTGGGCTTATTACCTGTTTAGATAGATAGATAGATAGATAGAATAAACTTGCTTAATTAGACCTGCTTTCTGAGTTAGCTAAACTTTTTTCCAGCCCATTGAAGCACCCCAACTTCTCTTTCAGATAATTGTTAGCAACACTGCAGTAAATAACATAAAAACAGATTATTATTTTAGATCATGCATAGAGAACAAAGGGTAAAGTATTTAAGTATAGCAGTGTTTGACTATATTCTGCGCAGTCGGAAAACCTGAAGTCATTTTCATAGTCCACCGTTTCTTCTTTTCAGTCGAATAAAGTTTCTAAGCTTTCTAAATTTCCATTTTCCAACTAATGAAAAGAAAACAGTATTCCATCGAGTCTCCCATGTACCTACTCCAGGACTTCTGTGAGGATCAAGTGAGATGAGGTACAGGAAAACACTTCAGACATTTAAAGTGTAAAATGTTCTCACCATGCTATAACGCAAGTCGTGCTCCTGGACTCTCCAAGGAAGCTAATTGCTAGGGAAAGGAAGCTGGGCTTTGCTCTGTGACATCATTACCCGGTGCCCACAATGACCATTTCTGGGTTGGGCTGGGCTGGGTTGTGGGCTGTATTTTGCACCATAGGGTCTTAGCAACATTGGTTGTGATTTGGTGGGCTGTCGCTCAGAGTGATGGCGGAGCCTGTGTCCCACTTGGGGGAAGCTGAGTGTTGCTTTGTGGGTGCCAAGTCCATGGTGCCATTTCTCTATAAATGGCCAGTGCATGTAATAGCAGCTCCTGCATTGAGTGTCTGCCTCCTAGTGGTCAGTGCGTGTCAAAGCTACTGGTCAGATAGACACTTAGTATATTAGCCTTTTCTATCTATTAAAGATAGGAGAGAAATAGGATTACATATTCCACATCCTTGCCAGCACTTGTTGTTGGGTGATTTGTGAATGGCAGCCATTCTGACAGGTATGAGGTGATGCCTATATTATTTGATAGATAGAAATAATTTACTTAAGGCTTTTAGCAACATTTTAATAAGCTGAAACTTTTGAGTTAGAGCATATAATAGGTAGATGTCGAATTTGCCAAATGCTTTGAAGATGTAAATTACAAATAGGTAATAGAATTTTTCAAAAGAAACTTTTTAAATTGATTCTCTTTTTAATCTTTTTTTTAAGAATATGTTTTTATTAATTTGAGAGGGGAGGGGAGAAAGAGAAAGAGATATCAATTGGTTGCATCCTGTACAGACCCAACCAGGGATGGAACCTGCAAATTTGGTATGTGCTCTGATCAGGAATAGAACCCTTAACCTTTTTGGTTTATGGGACGATGCTTCAGTCAAGTCACCAGCCAGGGCTAAGTTGATTCTAAACTGTAAGTGAAGATTATTTAATAGTATAACTTCTAATTATAGCTTCTTCACAACATTCTTCCTTATCCCTGTACATATAAAAGTTAACATACATGCTTTAATGGTTAATAGGCAGGATCAAAGTATTTATGAATTCAGTAATTAGTTAACGAAAAGTATTTTTTATTACCAATGCTAAAATGTATTATATTGGGGAGGGAGGGCATGTTTGGGAATTAAGGGGGGATGGGGATTGGTAAGGTATGTACACATATATCTTAATAAAAAATAAATTTAAAAAAATTTATTATATGGTTACCTGTGGTATTTTAATCACTCATATAATTAGTAACCTTTTTTAATTGTTGGAATGTTGAGTTTCATGAAATACTAGGTAAGTCCCTTAACCTCTGTGCCTTGGTTCTTTGGAACCTGGGTATATGATTCTAATTTTTTTTAATTAACTTTTTTAATCAATCTTTATTGTTCATATTATTACAAAGGTTCCTCATTTCTTCCCCCCTCCACCAGGTTCCCACCCCACCCTCCACCCCCTTCCCATCCCCCATTGTCCTCATCCATAGGTGCACAGTTTATGTTCAGACTCTTCCTCCCTCCCTTTCCCCGAGAACAATCAGTCCACTCCCCTACCATATCGCCGACTCTACTACAATGAACAGCTAATATTGTTCATCAGGTTTTTCAATCTCCTTTTGTTGTTGTTGTTGTTGTTGTTGTTGTTTTTTAATTAACAAACTTTTACACTTCTAAGAATACATTTTAAAATCTAATAATTTTAAACCTTGTTTTTTTTCTGCCCTGGGAATTGAGAGCAAACTTGTTTACATGTAAACTTGCCCTTAGGCTATCAAAAGGTATAGCCATTCAAGTGTAAATGGACACATTGTTTAAACATAGCTGCTGGTTGGAATTGGATTACCTGTTCTGGGTGGGAAGGGCTTGTCATTCCCTTTCTCCATTAAAATTAAGGTGTTAGCTTTAAAACTTCTTTTTGGCAAGAGACCTTAAACTTTCAGAACTTTAAATTTTTCAGATAGTAAATCAGTTACTTAGCATTTTCTCAAATCAATAATACCTCCACATGCCCAAGGATACAATTCACACAAAAGACATTTCCAAATAGATCAACCAACCTCATCCAGGCCCCACACAAAGCACTCACAGATCAACACCCCAGCGCTATACTAACTCAACACATCCAAATCTAAGCCTTAATCACTTGATTCAGCAGACCCTCAAGTTCCCCCAAAAGTTTCCAGCCATGTCTGAGAGGCAGCCTTGGGTCGGGGGCAGGCGAGGAGCGAGCTGTTCCGGGCCTGGCTGCTCCGGGCCTGGCCTCTGTTGCTCTGGTCCTTTCCACAACCAGCTGCTCCGGGTCTGGCCACTGCCGCTCCTGACCTGGCCGCTCCGGGCTTGGCTGCTGCTGCTCTGGGCCTGGCTGCTCCTGACCCGGCTGCTCTGGGCCCGGCTGCTCCGGGCCTGGCCACTCCGGGCCTGACAGCTCCCGACCTGGCTGCTCCAGCCTTGGCTGCTGCTGCTCCGGGCCTGGCCGCACACGACCCGGCTGCTCTGGGCCTGGCTGCTCCGAGCCCTGCCGTTCCGGGCCTGGCCGCTCCCGGCCTGACAGCTGCTGCTCCGGGCCTGGCTGCTCCTGACCCAGCTTCTCTGAGCCCTCTAATTGTTTTTTTTGAGGTTCTTCCAACATTGATTCTTTAGAGTAGGGGTGTCGAACTCAATCAGAGAAGGGGCCAAAATCTAAAATCCAGCCTAAATCGCGGGCCGAATGGTTTACTGAACAGTCATAAACTGTCATTGTGATGGAAACGCAGCGGAGTGCAGTGATGACAGCGCGGTGCGGGCCACATTGCAAGGCCTGGCGGGACGGATTTGGCCCGCGGGCCTTGTGTTTGACACATGTGCTTTAGAGGATATGTTGAGAAATATTTCTCTCCCAAAATGATATAATAATTATTATTAAAAAACTCATTAAACAGTAGATATAAATTTAATTTTATGAATAGAGTATATAAAATACACTGTAAAGAAATAATATTCTTGCCTGGCCGGTGTGGCTCAGTTGGTTGAGCATCATCCTATGCATCTAGAGGTTATTGGTTTGATTCCTAGTCAGGGCACATGCCCAGGTTGCTGACTCGATCCCCAGTAAGGGATGTGCAAGAGGCAGCTTATGGTTTTCTCTCTCAATTTTCCTCTCTCTCCCTCTCCCTTTCTCTCTCTCAAACCAATAAAAACAGGGGGTGGGGATGGATTAGAAGAAGTAAATGGTGGGGGAAGAAGGGGGGACATATGTAATAATTTCAATAATAAAGATTAAAAAAATAAAACCAGCCGAAACCGGTTTGGCTCAGTGGTAGAGCATTGGTCTGCAGACTGAAAGGTCCCAGGCTCGATTCTGGTCAAGGGCATGTATAATACATTGGTTGCGGGCACATCCCCGTAGGGGGTGTGCAGGAGGCAGCTGGTCGATGTTTCTCTCTCATCGACGTTTCTGGCTATCTCTCTCTCTCCCTTCCTCTCTGTAAAAAATCAATAAAATATATTTTAAAAAAAATAAAACCAGTTAAAACATCTTTAAAAAAATATGTTTGGCTCAGTGGAATAGGATTGGCCCATGGACTGAAAGGTCCTGGGTTTGATTCCGGGCAAGGGCACATACCTCTGTTGCAGGATCCATCCCTGGCCCGGGACATGTGAGGGAGGCAACCAATGGATATGTCTCACTCACATTGATGTTTCTCTCTTTCTGTGTCTCCCCCTCCCTTCCACTCTGTCTAAAAATCAATGGGAAAATATACTCAGGTGAGGATTAACAAAAAAGAAAAAAAATGAAAATATTCTTTAATCTTGGATATAAAAGTAATCATAATTAACATAGGCAATATTGCTTTCTGATTTAAGAGTATTCTATATCTGTACCTTTTTAGAATTGAGGATTTTTTCAGAGATAAATATTTCCTTGAGCCATGACATTCATTTTTTTAACTTAATTAGGAAGGAAAAATGCATTAGGATAGCAAATTAAAATATTGGCTAAAAAGTACTATATAGAAGAGCAGCACTAGACTAATGGTCTAATTGGAGAAGGCATCTTAAAACTAATATACTATCTAATATTGCTATCTCAATATATGAAAGATAGTAGTTACACTCATTATTACACAAAGAGATAATGGAACATCTTGGGTTATTTGACTTTCTATTCTCTCTAGTTTTATGCAGCTTTAAAATTTCATAACTTTTCTCAAGATCGTCTTTAGCATAAAGGATAAAGCCAAAAAGAAAACAGAGGGTAGAACTAATGGAAAATTTATTCTTCTGTTCAATAATTTTATATAATAAAAAAAAATATTTGCCAGTAATTTTTTACGACAGTAATTTTATGGAGTTTGTGAGTTTGTATATAAATAATACAGTTCTTATGCGTGAAAGACATATTTGTAATCAGGTATGTTTACTTACACTCTTTTCAAAACTTTTTCTCCCTCCCCTACAGAATCTGTCTATGATCTTCTCCCAAAGGAGTTACAGTTACCTCCATCTAGAGAAACAACTGTAGCATCAATGAGTCAAACAAGCGGTGGTGAGGCAGGCTCGCCTCCTCCAGCTGTAGTTGCTGCTGGTATGCATTTCATTTTACTTTATTAAAGAAAACTAGGGTATAATCTGGCCAACATGAACAGTGCTGGTAAAGTTTATGTCAAAAAGAGTGTGATTTGAGGCTTTATTTTAGGAGGTTTTAAAATATGTACTTTAAAATTTTTCAATATAATTTTATCGATATAATTATTCTTAAAATTTCACATTGGCACATCTATTAGTTCCATCTCCTAGAATAGACCTTGTGTTCAATTATGGAAATGAATTCAAAGCTCTTTTGTTGACTGCACATAAGAAAGTTAAATATCAAGCTATGGATGGAAAATTACATTTGTTAAATTATATTTAAAATTTATTTTTTTAATTTGCTTTAAAAAAAAAGAAAAAATATTTTACTTTGTATAATCTGAAAAAAGACTCAAGCACTCAATTTTTGTTTGTAACACATTACTGTAACCTTTTCCCTACATTTGAAAACATGTGGCTTTATAGTTATTTTAAATTCGGTTGAAAGAAATGGAAGATTTGAATGTAATATTTATATAAAGACATTTTATATCAATTTATAATGTGAAAATTAATGTTTAAAAGTTTATCAAACTTTTTACTAAGCTCTCAAATCATACACTTTATAATTATATAATCAGATTATATAAAGCTGGTTTAAATTTTGATCGAATTAGAATAAAAAATTGACAGACAAGCTAACAGAAAAAAAGTCTTGATTAGTTATAAATTAATATGAATGCTTTTAAAAATTAAATTGCCCAACTGTTTTTTTCTTTTAGTTGGGTTTATAGACTGCTAAGTGCTTTAAAAAAGGACAGACTCTGAAGTTTTATTTGTCCTACTCATTAGAGTTTTTTTTGTCTAATATGATACCTCTCACCTTTTCAAGTGTTACTTAAAGTCCATCAGAACATTGTTTTCAGAAAATTCTTTTTGTTTCAAAAGAACAGTGAAGTGAAAGGTTGTTATTTAAATGAGGGTATTGGTACTATAGTAGAACTTCAGATATTTTTCTTGTATGTGTTAACCTATGTACCATTAGCCTTGTATATCAATCTTTCTCCTTAGATTAACAGTGCAGTTTGCTGCTTTCCTAGTTGAGGGCCGGAAAACATTCAACATGACAAAGAAATTTATCAGCCCTGCTCACTGTTCATGTGTTGCCAGACATTTTCTAACAGATACTGTGGATTTAATTGTGAACGTTTTAGTAATGAAATTGTGAGATGATATCCCTGAATATCTTTTCTGAATTTAAAGCTTTAAACTAGTTTAAAATTTATATGACAACAAAATATGAAAAAAATACTTTTAAATGAAATATTTCACTTTAAGTCCACAGGTAGATATTGACTAACTGATTTCTTCTGTATTTTTTGAGATTGTTTCTTAAAGATATGTTGAATCTGAATAGAACTAAAAGTCTGTTTCTTCTGTGCTTTTAAACATGTGTTGACAGTAGATCCAGTTCCTTTTAAAAGCTGAAAAAATGTTAACTTGGTTTTGGAAAAGAACAACATTGCCTTTTAAATAGTACCAAATTGAATTTCAGAAGTTTTATATATAAATATTGAAAGTTCTTGAATTTGGGTCACTAATGGAATGTTGATCTTTTCTAACCCCCCTGTCCCTCTCTCCACATATTTGAGAAAATCCTTTCCAGATAAATTAGATTGAAAGCTATTAGTTGAAAAATCCTGAAAATAAGAGAATTAACTCAGGAAGTATTCTGAAGTAATACATTTTTATTAGATTGAGAAGTTATTAACTTTGTAATGATGGTGAAGAGAGTAAGGACGTAACCTTGACAGTTTTTTTATATTCTCACACAGAAAGTTTCTGTGATCTAAAACCAAGTCATTTGTAATTTTTAAAACATAAATTTAGTTTTAGTAACCTACATAGTCTTTTTCTAGGATTCTAATGTCTTATTCGCAGAATAAAGTCTATGTCATAAAAATTATAAATAAGAGAGTTTAAATTAAAAAATAATTATTGTAGGGAGATCAGTTTGTATATATTATTGAAGTTGCCTTTTATATTAAACTAATAATATCCTCAGTGACATAACTGTCAAAGCGAGAGATTTAGAGTAAATTACCAGTTACTCAGTATTTTCTGGCCAAAATACTAAATTTCTTGGGAAAGACACATTAATTTAGACTTCTGTGAGTTTTATTTTTTAATCTATAGCATTTGCTGTTTAAGTATGAAATGCATAAAAATGATGACTCTTGATGTAGTTAATTCTTCAGAGTTTTGAAGGAGCCGGATTGGCTGCTATCAGTTATGAGGGCCTGGTGGGAACAGACTTCTAGTTCTGCCATAAAGGTTTGTGTTTTGCAAGTTTTAAATCAATTTTGAAATTTAGAGGCTGGGCATGTAGGTGTTATGTAAATTCTTTATTATTTAATTATTAAAATATGTTTCTCAGATTCACCAAACTAGATATTTTTACATATTACTGAAGGAATGAGTAAACATGGTGCTGCTAATCCATAATCCAGAATATTGGATTAAAGTGTCTCTCAAATCTTTTTTTACTTCTACACTAGTTCCACTTTTACATACTCCCAGCAATAACATCTTTTATCCGGTAAGTCCCAGGGGTTGAGAGTTGGGGAAAGAGGACTTACTTTTCCTCCATAAGTCCTCCTCTCTGCATAGGATCAAGTGTCAAAATCTGGGAGGTGTAGTGGAGAACCACCAGTCTGAAATTTTTACTCCTCACCATTTTTTTAAAGACCTCTGTTTTTGTCTCTCCGAAAAGGTAGTTAAGAGTTTGAAGTTCAATATGTGAATTAGTAAAAGTTTTAGAAATAAAGACTTTATGAATACTATTATTGTAGATTCTCAGTAATTAAGAGAGAGACTATTTCCTAGTACAAAAAAGATATACAAATGAATTGATGCTATTTTTTGGCAAAATTAGTTATCAAGAAGAAATTTAAATTGTGAAAGTATTCTTTTGTGTGTGTGTGTGTGTGTGTGTGATTCCTATAGCATAAAGAACTAAAATGTAAGTATTTAGGAGAAATAATACAGTTACACCAGAATTTGGGGTTTTTGAAAAGAGTTATGGCAGGTATTTTTCTTAAATAACGGCTTTATTGAGATATATTGTAGTACATATACCAGTTAAAAGTATTTTAAATCTACTTATATATTTATAGTTTTTATCCTTAGATTCATTTTATTTGTATAAAATAGAAAGTCTTTGACAGAAGTTGACAATCAACTTTGATCATAGAGAAACTAAATTATTTTCTTGTTCTAGACCACATGTGTCAAACACAAGGCCCTCGGGCCAAATCCGTCCCGCCAGGCCTTGCATTGTGGCCCGCCCCGCGCTGTCATCACTGCACTCCGCTGCGTTTCCATCACAATGACAGTTTATGACTGTTCAGTAAACCATTCGGCCCGCGATTTAGGCTGGATTTTAGATTTTGGCCCCTTCTCTGATTGAGTTCGACATCCCTATTCTAGACTTTATTTGTCTTCATTTTGGGATATAACGTAAAATATGATTTTGCATATGTGACTGTTTCTTTAAAATTGTTTTAATTGCAATGAATTAAACCATACATTTTATAATTTAATTTATATATCTTAAGAATATTTAGTTATCTTTTGTTATTTTCATAAAGTTATTTTACTTTCAATAATTATACGTAGGAACTATTTTTACAAGTAACAAATTCTCAGTACACTGTAGCAGTTTTTAACATGTAAAGCTATATACACTCATAAATCATGTACAGTACAAATCCACCAGTTGGATCACTGGAGGTGTTTAGCATTTTAATTTAGATTAATAACTTTACATGGAGTGATCCATACAATAAACTTTCCTGTTATAAGATTTATTACATCATGCCTTGAATACTATGACACAGCAATTAATAAATCTCAAATACCTAACAGATATTTTCTATACTGAAAGAACTTAATTGAGTGCTATTTACACTGTAGGAGAACATGCTAAACAACTAAGTTAGTGTTCTGTAATAAAAAAACAGCTATGCTTTAATTTATTTCAGACATCTTAATCATCTAAATTAAATTTTTAGGAACTTTTTAACTATCCATAATAGCAAAGTTGTACAAAAATTGAGGTGAAAAAATATAAATTATCATTTTTTTAGTTCTTACTGTGTGATAGGAATTATATCAGGCAACTTGTATATTATCATATCTCAATCTTTCCAAGCACCTGCTCTTCTTATTGGGCTCTAAGTTCTTTTTTCTTTGTCATTATTCTTTAGAGAATTTAACATTGTGTACTCTAACTTCAATTAAGGAAACACAAGATCCTGGAAGGTAGTGCGTAGAATATTGAGTTGAAAAAAACTATACTCTTTCTCTGCAAGTTTCAGGATCTACAAAATGGGAATATGCTTTCTAGAAGAGTATCAATTTAATTTGCCTGTGATTTCTCTCCTGTGTTAATAGGTTAGCATATTTCAGAATTTTGGCCATTTATGTAGAATACAATTCCTAAAATTTCATCCAAAGCTTGTTGACAAGAAAGATAATTCACCTATGTAACCTATGTATTGATGTGAGCTAAAATCTTAGTTATTCCATATGGCCATTTCTACTTTTTCTAGAAAACTGAACCATTTCCAGAAGAAAGTCAGATCCTAGTTACAAATATGTTGCAATTAGGTTTAAAAATTCTGTCTTTTAACTGAAATTGCATAGTAAATCTAAATACATACATTTATACGTATGGAAATATCTATGTATATGTAAATTAATGCCTTATGCAATATGAACAATTATATGACATATATTTATGGTTGAAGACAAGGCATTAATTGCTATTGTGTTGGCTGTTGTTATTTATTTATTTATTTATTTATTTATTTATTTTTACAATCTAAGGGAAAAGAGGTCAGTGCATGACTAGAAATAGAAATCGCATGTTTTAAAAATTCTTATGGCACACCAGTTGAAAATTACTGCCATAATTAATTGTAAAAATTAGTTGTATAAATAATACTAATAAAG